GGGTCTGATGGAGGAGGGTCTGATGGAGGGGGTCTGATGGAGGGGGGTCTGATGGAGGGGGGTCTGATGGAGGGGTTCTGATGGAGGGGGTCTGATGGTGGAGGTTCTGATGGAGGAGGGTCTGATGGAGGGGAGTCTGATGGTGGAGGGTCTGATTGTGGAGGGTCTGATGGAGGAGGGTCTGATGGAGAAGGGTCTGGTGGAGGGGGGTCTGATGGAGGAGGGTCTCATTGGGGAGGGTCTGATGGAGGAGGGTCTGATGGAGGGGGTCTGATGGAGGGGGGTCTGATGGAGGAGGGTCTGATGGAGGAGGGTCTGATGGAGGGGGGTCTGATGGAGGAGGGACTGATGGGGAGGAGGGTCTGATGGAGGGGGTCTGATGGAGGGGGGTCTGATGGAGGGGGGTCTGATGGAGGGGGTCTGATGGAGGGGGGTCTGATGGAGGGGGGTCTGATGGAGGAGGGTCTGATGGAGGGGAGTCTGATGGTGGAGGGTCTGATTGTGGAGGGTCTGATGGAGGAGGATCTGATGGAGAAGGGTCTGATGGAGGGGGGTCTGATGGAGGAGGGTCTCAATGGGGAGGGTCTGATGGAGGAGGGTCTGATGGAGGGGGTCTGATGGAGGGGGGTCTGATGGAGGAGGGTCTGATGGAGGTCGTCTGATGGAGGGGGTCTGATGGAGGAGGATCTGATGGAGGGGGTCTGATGGAGGAGGGTGTGATGGAGGAGGGTCTGATGTGGGAGGGTCTGATGGAGGGGGGTCTGATGGGGGAGGTTCTGATGGAGGGGGGTCTGATGGTGGAGGGGTGTGATGGAGGAGAGTCTGATGGATGAGGGTCTGATGGAGGAGGGTCTTATGGAGGAGCCTGATGGAAAGGGGTAGATGGCGTGTCGATGGTGGAGGGTCTGAGGAAGGGGGACAATCACCAGGGCTGTCCCATGGCCTGTGGCCCGGGTTGCAGCTCTGCACTCTGGCCACTGGGTGGCGACAGAAGCCAGAGTCCGTGCTGTGAGCTGAGTGGTCCCTTATGTTCCCTGCAGCCCCAGCCCTGCTTCTGTGTGCTCTTCTACTCCATTTGAGCCCCTGGACTGCCCGTGAATGCGATCTGAAATGGTTCTGCAGGACTACTAGGTCGGAGGCACCTATGTGCCTTGGCGCCCCTGAGGGCCTGTAAACAGCTCCGAGGGTGACACTGTTCGCCCAGGGTGCGACCACGCGAGTCATTTAGCAGCGTGGGACGCAGGGGTGGGTGAGGGCCGCGCAGGGTGGACGCCTGCTCTCCCATGTGGATTTCCCCAGACGGGGACACACCCTCTTCCCCGCTTCCTATTTTGGGGAGAACAGGGGCGGACAGAGAAGGAGACTGGGAGAGGCGGTGGGGGCCTGGCGCTCTGGGAGCAGGTGCTTGGGGAGCCCAGGTGAGAGGCTCGCAGCTCAGGAGTCGGCCTGCAGGTGCGGGAGGGGCGCCCCAATGCTGGGGTGGCCTGTCTATTTCCGAGGGTGGCAGAGCCTGCAAGGGTAGCAGAATAAGAAACGAAGCCAGCGGTGGGTATGCGGGAAGGTAACTGGCGCTGTGAGGTGGCAAAGAGGAGGGCTGGGGAGGAGCCTCCTGGTCCTGCCTCCCGCCGTGAGCGGGCGGTTCCAGTCCCTCTGTGGTCTCAGCCCCTGTGTTGTCCCTGAGAGGGAACATTAAACTTCTGCTGGCAACTCCCAGTCCCGTCCCACGCCATGTCCTTGTTCCTTGCAGGAATGGGCTCCTCCTGCCCGGGGTGCTCCTGCCTGGCGGGGGCAGGGCGGAGTGGCAGGCCCGGTAGGATGCAGGATGGTGCTGGCCCAGCACACGGCTTCCCAGGTGATGACACGCAAATGCTGCCCAAGCAGTCTCGGGAGCAGTGGCGCCGTGGGGACAGGCCATCATGTTTCGATGGCGGGATTTCCAGCCCTTGTGCTCTGTGACAGACGGGCCCATCCCAGGCCTGGCCACGCTGCACTCGACCTCACTCTCCAGCCCCTCAGGGGGAAGCTTCCAGGGCTCAGGGCGGGGGCTGCATATCAGTGACACAACCTGGACTACACGACGCCCCCACCCTGCCCCGTGGGCTTGGCGAAGTCGGCTCCCGGCCATCCCTTGGTGTGGGACGCTCCTCTCCAGGGTGGGGTCGGGGCCACCACCGGGTGGGACTCCCAGGGGCTGGGCAGAGGGATGGAGGCACCCAGGAACAACGGGCCTCTCTCGAGTGGCCACCAGCACCCAACCCTGCAGGGACTTGTCTCCCCAGGGCCTCGGTCCCCTGGCCGCAGTGGGAGCCCTGGTCAGGGAGGTGGGCAGCCCAGGCAGAGGCTGGAGCCCGGGCAGAAGATGGAGGTGACAGTGTCTGCTCACACCCTCCTGGAAGCCAGC